AAACGAGGGACTATGATTGCATTTGGGGACAGGAAGCTAATATAGGGCTGGGATGAAATAAGGGGGGAGGGCACCGACCCTGGAGTCAGGAGGACCTGAGTTCAAATCTGGCCTCAGATCAGACACTTGATACTATCTGTGTGACCCTGGGCAAGTCACTTAGCCCCAATTGCCAAAAAAAAAAAAAAAAAAAAAGAATAGGAGGGAGGGTTCCTGCTCAGGGTGGTGGATTGAGATGACAGAGTAGAGAAGTGTGAAGTTGAGAGGTGTAGAAGTACTCATTAGTCATTTGGGGGGTTTTGGTCTAGACCTTATTACTTTCTATCCACTATGGGAGGCTACCTGTCATTGAGCCAGAGAAGAAGGAAAACAGTGGGCGGGAAGAAATGGTATTTGGAAAAGCTCATTGTAACATTGAGAAAATTGGTTTCATGATCTGTTCAAGCCCCTGCATAGATTTCTCTCTCCTGTGAATTTTCTTGATGGACTCACTTTAGAGGCAATGTGGTTAGGGGTGAGAGCCAGATGAATACTTACATAGTCTCCAGGTGCTGCTATATATATATATGCGTGTATATAGACATGTGTCTCTACATATACACAGAGATGGTTTTTCAAAGACTACAGAAACTTAGATAAGAAAGCCCTTACTTTTTAACATGACAGTGTTTACACTTTTGCTCCCAGAATGAATGATGTTTTACTATGCATTAAGGAAACCAAATAGCAAGGCATCCTAAAGCAATGAGTAGAAAGCTAGTCTGGAGGTCAGGAAGTGCTTGGTGCAAGGCCCACCTGTGAAACATACTCTAGTCACATCACATAACCTCCCAGAGTTTCCTCAAGTTAAGAACATCAGTTACAAAGCAGCTGCAGATAAATGTATGATTAGGTTTCAGAGTTCTCTATTTCAGTGGAATCACAAGTCCAATCCAACAACAAAAACAACCAGTAGATGTGTAATAAGAACGAGTAAGCTTTGTTTATAAATCCCAAGTTTTACAAGTAATGCATTTCAGAGACCTCCAGGGTATTGTGTGTGGAAGTCTAGGAGACCTGAGTTCTAGTGCTGCTGCAACTAACATCCACTTCAACCTTGGGCAAGTTCTTTAACTGGGCCTGTTAACAAGACAGCCGATTGACTATTATCTCCCAAAGCAGGCAGCACAAAGCCTGATTGGACAGGAACTGTGCAGCATGTGGGCCTTGAAACATGTAGTCTGATTGTACAAATTCAAAAACTGAGCTTCTGCTCACCAGCTTGTGACTTCCAAATGTCCCCTCTTGTCAGCTGAACTTTATTTGCTGAAATAACTAAACAAATGTAGTACTGGAATGTAAACTCAAGATAAATCAGGTTGCTGACATTGAAAGTTAACTTTTGTTTCCTTCTTCATGAATGCTGAAGATTATTTTGAATTTTTTTAATAATAAGTGCAGGCCATTTTAAGAAGGAACTTTTGTAATTGCTGTGTGTGTGTATGTGTGCATGTGTGTGTGCATGTGCGTGTGCGTGCATATTCACACACATTTATATTTGTCATTTTGGATTTTTAAAAATACTACAAAGCCTTGGTGTATCTATGTAGCTAGAAGCCATATTTATTTAGCATTTTACTTTAGACTTTATCTGGGAAAAAAGGAAGTGGAGAGATGAGTGAATAAACCGCACAATTATTTATCAGTTTCTTTGAATATAGCTTACTTCAAGGATCTGTGATTTCTTGTGGGTAAGAACTCTTAATACTGGGATAGACTGACACCTTTCTGAGTAGAGAACTTGACACTAGAAGGGAAGGAGCCCATGGAGAAAGAGTAGATGATGATCGGATCAAAGTATGGTCAAGAAACATGACCATCCCTGCATGTGATTTATTGGAGTAGAGGTTAAGAAGTTAAGGCAGCTAGGTGGTGCAGTGCATAGAGAGCCAGCCCTGGAGTCAAGAGGACCTGAGTTCAAATATGGCTTTAGACACTTACTAGCTTTGAGACCCTGGGCAAGTCATTTAACCCCAGTTGCCTCAAAAAGAAAAAAGAAAAGTTTAAAGAACTTGATAAACTTGGAGGCACGGGTATTTGAGGAGAAATTAACATTTAAGTCGAAGTCCCTATTTATAAGGCCAGGAATTGGTCAGGCTCAAATCCTATCTCTGCAACTTATTTATTATCTGTATGACCTTGGGTAAGTCACTTAATCCCTTTAGGCTGCTTGTTTCCTCCCTAGTAAAATAACAGTAGATGAACTAAATGGTATATAAAATCCCTTCTGGCTCTAAGTATGTGGTCCTATGAAATTAAAACTTATTTTTGCATAAGAAAAATGCCACCCAAATATTTGGGGTAATATATAATTTCACATTTAATATTCACAAAGGAAAGTATTGCTTGTATTGGAATTTAATCTCAGAACCCCTCTTAACGTTGTGTAGTTTGGGAAGTACCACTAGTTAAGAGAAGCCACTGGAATAATTTTTTTTTTTTGATTGAGGGATAGGGTGTTATGTTACAAATGTTAGCTAATTAAATCTTTCTGTGTTGCTGCTGGCTGGATTTGGAGAGAGAAGAGACTCTTGGCAAGGATATTGTTTAGGAGAAAACCATGAGGAATGCCATATTCCAGGGTGCTGGCAATGCATTTCAGGAAGGAAGAGGATGCATTTTGAAGAAAAATCTATAATAGCTCAACCAGTTCCTTTCAGCAGCAAAGATGAAGGGGAAATTCTTGCTATGTGCAAGGCACTTATCTTCGTGCTAAGACAGAAAGGGAATAATGGCTGTCTTCAGAGAACCTGTATTGTTCTGGGGAACTGGATAAAGGAAGTGGGGAAAGTGGAATGGACAAGATGACTATCCAGCTTTCCAGTTTTCTGGCTGGCTGAGAAAAACAACAAATTTGGAAACTAGAATGAGCCCCAGCTCTGAATAACCAAAGTCTTTTTTTAATGCTTTAGAACTATGTATCCAATAAAAATTTGCCACACTAGGAATCACCCACACTAAATAAAGTCTGAGAGATAAATGCACTTTCTCCCAAGAGAAAGAGGAAGAGGAGTTTCTGCTTTGCCCAGTCATCACTAACTGCTGGGAATGCTAGCACGCATTAGGACTACTCAGAAAAAGGGACAAGATCTTCCCCCTGGAGGGGCTGACTGTGCCGCCTTCTGACAAGTTGATTTAATTGAGAATTCTACCACAGCTGCTGCTACTTCTTTATCTGATTCCAGAAGCTATAACTTTTGCAAATGGGAATTTATATGTAATTGCTTACTTGCTCTTCTTGTGGTATTAAAGATTTGGAAACTGAGGGGGAAAGCTCATCAGTTCAGGAAAGACTGAACAAGTTGTAGTATATGACTGTGATGGAATGCTATTGTATTATAAGAAATGACAAGGAGGATGATTTCAGAAAAACCTGGGAGGACTTGTATGAACTGATGCAAAGTGAAGTGTGTAGAACCAGAAGAACAAGCTACACAGTAACATCAGTATTGTAAGAATGTGAAAGACTTAGTAACTCTGATCAGCACAAACGACCCACCACAGTTCCAAAGATCTCATGATAAAAAAATGCTATCCACCTCCAGAGAGAGAACTAGTGGATTCAGAGTGCAGACTGAAGCACATTTTTTCTCCTTCCTTCCTTCCTTTCTTCTTTCCTTCCTTCCTTCCTTCTTTCCTTCTTTCCTTCCTTTCTTCCCTCCTTTTTTTGAACATGGACAATGTGTAAATTTGTTTCACATCTCTCTCTCTCTCTCTCTCTCTCTCTCTCTCTTGCTCTCTGTATACACACACATACACACACACACATATATTTGTAATGGATTTTCTTGCTTTGACTAGGGGGAGGGGAAAGGGTAGAGAGAGAATTTGGAACTGGGTAAAAAAAGAATCTAAAAAGTCTTTGTGCTTTAACAATATTTGAAAAGTTTAAAAAACAGTTTTAAAAAGTCTTAGAACAGTTTAACAGTTTAAAAAACATAATTATTTATCTTGAAGAACAGCAGTTTTTAGTAAAATTTAGTTTTGGTCAGTTGTCAAAATGGCATCATATACCCCTCACAGAACTGAGATTTTTTTTAAATGAATGTTCACTCATATCAGTTACTTTTAATTTTCCCAATTTTTAAAAATTTTCAATTACATTATTTCAGTCATGCTGTGCATAGAGAATTTTTTTAACATTAATTTCTGTTTGGAATCTTTTGTCTTGTCCTATGGGTCCACTGTTATCTGAAAGGATCTTGCTCTCAGAAACAACTTGTTTACTCTCAGTAAGCCAAACCTGACTTCAAAATGTATGGGAGCCCCTAGTTTAGACCCAATTTAATGGGCTTCCAGAGTAAGCAAAGAGGGCGATAGCTCACTGTTGGCTTTTAAAAAGAGAATGACAATTCCTCAGACTGTCTTTATGGTTAGGGTTTGCCTTTGGGGTTTGTTTGGCCCAAAAAATAAAATTTCATGGAGGGGTCTAGTCAGAAGAATATTGGCCTCAGAGTAGAAAGGCAGCTTTGAGGGTTGGCTTCATCTGGGATTAACTATATAACTGTAGGGAAGTCACTTAAACTCAGTTTCCTCGTCTGTAAATCAATAATGATCCTTCTTAAACTGCTAACCTCACCAAAATGTTGTGAGGACCACATTTTTAAAATGTTAAAGAAATTGTGTGGTGGATTGGAAGAATCGTGAAGAGGAGAGAAAGGAAAGACAATACTTAGTCCATGGGCCAGATATTCACTTGTAAGCCTTAGTTTCCTCATCTGTGAAACACAGTTGATAATACCCTTAAATATCTACCTTCCTGAGCCATTGTGAACCTCAATGAGAGGATTATGACCATTGCAAACCTTGAAATGTCATATGAATAGCTGTTATCATTACTGTTATTATTATGCTGTAAAGCATCTTACAGATTTGAGCTACTCTTGTCTTTTTTTCTTGATTCTTATGAGCACTGCTGCATTCTCACAAGAAATGAATTATTCCCTTCTGTCTCTACCTAGCAATATTCAGGACCCCTACCAGCCTGCATCTTCTTCAGTGGCCTCAGCGAGGAACGTGTCCCAGGGCCCAGAAAGTCCTGTTGCTTCTAAGCCTGGAGTGGCCAGCCTCACTACTGCAGCAGCTTTCAAACCTTCAGGATCCACAAATGTCATCAAATCACCAAATTGGCAGCGTCAGAACCTAGCAGGTAAAAAGAGGGCATCTTTCTTATTTTCTACCATTGAAGATCAAATTCCCAATTTCCCGGCTAAAGGTTGGAAGGCCTGTTATTTGAAGGAAAGAAAAAAAGCATTTATTAAGCACTCATTGTATGCTGGGCACTGGGGATACAAATGCAGAAAGCAAAGACAACCCTTCCCCTTGAAAAGCTTACCTTGTGCCATGTAAGTTGGAGTATCTGATTTAAATACTTTAAAAAACTTTTTCTAAAACTATTCCTTGGGTAACTTGGATTTAGAAACAAGTACACGGAGTAGCTGCCAGATCATAGAATCATAAATTTAGAACTAGCTCGTTCCTTTGTTTTGGATTTTGTCTCTGTTTGTGTGCTAATCAACATTGCACTTTGTATACAAAGAGGTAGAATTAGGACTATTAGGTGTTAACTAGTTGTATGTCTTTATCCCAGTAAAAAGTGTGTATTATATAATCTCAACTGGGCCCTCACCACAGCAAGGCAATCCTGTTAC